TTAAAAAAAAAGCATAAATAAACAGCTAATTACTTATCAACTTGTAGGTTTTTTTCTAGTATTTAATTTGGGATTAATGTTTAAATATTTAAATTGCATAATTATTCATTTTATAAAAATAAAAAATAATTACAAAACTGACATTTCATTTGACAGATGTTTTTTATTAATTACAGTAATAAAAGGCAACTAAGGATATTATTAATTTTTTTTTATGAATTTGTATTTACATCTAAACTATTAATTGAAAAATTAATTGTAAATACTTAATTTTATATTACTGTATTTTAGTGATATGGTAATATCATCTAATTAACTTATGCAAACAAAAAAAGAAATGAAAGCTTTTCTCAATGTTTGAGAAAAGCTTTTATTTCTTTCGTTTGTTTCTTGCTTATTTATTTTTCCTCAACTAAATCAATAGGAAAATCTTCAGAAATAAAAAAAGTGTTTAATTGCTAAGTAAATTATTGTCAATAACAAGAAATACACGAAAGTTTTTCAAGAAATTAAACATATAATTCAACTTCGAGCACTGGTTTTTGTAAAACAAATATTTTTCTATCATTAAAGTTATGTTTTATAATTTGGAAGTTAAGAATCCACAATCATTACATTTCGGATAAATCAAACTATGTTTATATTAAATTATAATGTTTTTATCAATAGAACCAAAGTACTAAAGGCTCGTTTAATTTGTAGCGTTTTTTCGCAGGAAATGTTCCTTGCTATCACTTATTACAATCGTCACTACTTTCGCATTAATTTAATGATAATTAATAAGTAATAATATTTAAAATTTTTTCATAACAAAATTTTTTTAAATATTATTTTTGTATTAAAAAATTACAAATCAATGATATATGTGTATTATTTTATTATATGTATCTCGGATAAAAATCTTTGCTTTTATTTTCGAAAAGCTCGGATTCTGAATTTTAACATCATCCAAATTCTTGAAAATTTTTCCATTAAGATAATTTTGCTAGAAGCGAAACAAATCAAAATACGAGGTACAGAATCCGACGAATATCGTGAGTTGAAAGAACATAAGAGTGAAACTGTAATAATATACAGTCAAACTTGTCTATAATGGAACCCTAAGGGACCGAACAACTTTTCCGTAGTAGACAGGTTTCCGCTATATACAGGTTACTTACTATAGGTATCCCTTGATTAATGCGATAATAAAGTTCTCGATGTTACCGCGTTAATCAAATACCTCAGTACGTCGGTATTCGACCACCCGCTACAGCAGATTTTCGGTTAATAACAAATATTTTTATTTTAACTTTTTCATTCATCCGTAAAAAAGTTCTCTAAGATAAAAATAAAAAAAATGATAACCAATTTAAAAATAAAATAAAACTTTACAGCTTCCCACCTTCGTCAGACAAAATTATACTCAATTCAGTTCGTTTTTTTCATAAAAGGAAAAAAGAAAAAAAAAAAACAAACTGCGTGCGGAACACAATCATCAGCAAGTTTTACAGCCATTCAAACGGATGAAGTGTTTCATCAATACGTGTCTGTGACACACTAAGACTTGTTGCAAATTAACGAGTTGTTATTTATCAACATTTAACAATTTCTTCCGGCAATTTCTCTTCAACAGCTTTTGGGAGAACGTACGTTTTGTATCCTTCAGTTCAAGATTTTTCGAACGAAACTTTCAAAACCACATCTGACACATTCAGCATTTAGAACAATCTTCCCCATACACGGCATGGGTATTTTTTACTGTTTGTATAGCGTGATATCCTTTACGAAACTTAAAAGCATGCATAATATACCCAATGTGCATTTTATCTGCAGGCATTTGACTTGTTCGACTTGATTTTATTCAAACGAAATATGATGTAAAAAAAGTTTAAAATAAGCTTCAAAGCAAACAATACAACCTCACATCGGGAATAATGTGTTAAATTTCACAACATGTAATTACACTACATATTTATGTTAGGTAAAAATAGCTGTTAAATACGCAAAAACGTACCGTTCAAATCCCAATAAAAGTACTGTAATATTACTCGTATAAATATTTTGCTATTGTGTATTGCATATGTGTATTTTTTGACTTTTTTATGCTTAGCTATTTAATTTAACAAGAAGTTTACATGCTAGGCTTGTAAACTTCTTGTTAAATTTGTGTTAAATCGGATAAAGATACCTATTTTTCCGTTATACGGCCCGATTTCTCTTTCCGTTTCCGCGTTAGACAGGTTCCTCTATATACAGGTTAATTTATATTAATTTTTGCAAAAAATTCAAGGGACCGAAAGAAATTTTCCGATAATGACAGGTTTTCACTATATACAGGTTCCGTTATAAACAAGTTTGACTGTATATATATTATTCAGTTTCATTCTTATGTTCTCTCAATTCACCATATTTGTCAGATTCTGTATCTAATATCATTATCACTCTAAGGTCTATGATGCCTGGCGAAATAATTACTTTTCTGATTTAAGAACAGGTTAATTCCGTAACAAATAACACTTCAATTGTTTGTAGTTCGATCTTTTTATACAAAATCAATTATACTGTAAAAAAATCTTAAAATAACACCCATAGAAATGCACACGTCATCAATATCCAAATGCTTTGATAAATCCGTCCGATTTATTTGGTAAAAGATATAATGTGAAGACTGTTTTAAATTATCTTTTCATTCAATTATAATTAATAGTTTTATAATTAACTTATTTCCAGTCTGTGATTTTAATACGTACGTAAATTATAGATTAACAACAGATACGTGAATTCAAAATTAATGAATACTTAATAGTAGATTACATTAGGAATTCAAGAAAAGAAGGCTTGTTAATCTTCTTTTCTGGAATTAGTAATGCTATTTATATTAAATAATCGATATCGAATGGATATGAACGTCTATGTTTTTTTCGAGCGAAAGTTATGTTAGAATAATAAATTCTTTAAAAATAAAATATATAAAAAACTTAATTCTATTTTGATATTTATAATTATTCAAAGGTTACGTACGATCATTGCAAAAAAAATTAGCTTGGATTATTTTTAATATTGATTCTTAAAACTTCTTCGGCTCTTTCAACAGGTTATTAGTGTTATTTCAATACTCACAAATTTCAATTTGAAAAAAAACTAAAGCCATATTAATTTTTTGATATTTTCAGAAATAAATGTGTTTCATATTGTTAATACGACGATTGAGTTTATGGTTAAGAAAAACAACTCTTGCATCCTTATCCAATTTACAGTTCAAGTTTGGAAACGTGCGACTTTTATTATTTCCAGCACTAAAACTAAATTCAAGACTATCTAATAAAATTTTTTAAAGTTTCTATATAATTTAAGCACAAGAATTTTTTCAATGTTTAATCATATCTCTAGATTTAAAAATCGCACTGCAATAATCTTTGTTCCAGACCAAATTAAATATTTTAATTTTTACCGTTTACAGTGTTAATTTGTTGTTTATAATTTGCTGTTTCATTGTTTACAGTACTACTGTTGGCAATGTTTTATTTAAAAACGTTTAAACATTTGAAAATAAATTAAATTATTAAACATTAGTGATTTGTTTTTCTTTGTTTTTCTGCAAATCGGTCTAATGTCTTTGAAAGTAATAGCGTTATTTAAGATATGAATAAGAATGGAATAAAAATGGAATTAAGGAAAATAATGAACTATTGTATAATAAAAGAAGTTAGTTTATAACTACTTACGCTATAGCTCATTATCTTCAAAATGTTCTATATCTTATTTAAAATGTCTGTTATAAAACTTTTCACAGATTTAATTTAAGTAAAAACTTGTATAATACAATTACTTTACATAAAAAATGAACTAATGATATTACATTGTAATAAATTGTAAATCTATAACTGTTATTAATCCCTAATACAAGTATATAGGGATATTATACCTGTACTAGGGATTAATAATACCTGTATTACCTGTATAAAGAATATGTGGGATTTAACCGATTGCTGGAGTCTGGTGGCAGTTATCCGCAGGTATTGATATTTTAAACTTTCTTGACATTTTTCTCGGTTATGATGTTGGAAATGCATGTCATTGACGCACTTTAGAGTTTTCAACTGCTTTAGAGAGAACGTTAGAAACGTGTCACCACGTCGTGTGTTTTCGTGTGAAAACCAAACAGAAAATCCTACGAGGCGGAGCTGAGCTTTGTTTCCTAGAAAATACCTAGTAATAATCCGAGTTGTTTTATTTTTTTATAATTTATTTATGAAGCCTTTATTAGTAATAATCCGAGTTGTTTTACTTTTTCATAATTTATTTATGAAGCAATTAATCCTTTGTGGTGTGCATAAATTTGCCGAAGAGAACTAATTACACAGGAAACACACCAGTAATTGACTACATCATGTTTAAATAAACAGTCAAAAATCTGTAATAAAGGGCTGAAGAGGAGCAGAAGGCCCGAATGCATTTTCTTGTACAGTATAGTAAAGTTAGCATAATAAATTACTGTTGTGTTTCTTGTGTGATTAGTTCTATTCAGAAAAAGTATGCTCAAAAGTTAGTGATTAAAAGCTCCATCGGAAGAAAGAGCAATTAAACAGAAAATAATAATTTTTTTTTCACGTACTTAATGAATCGACCAGGTGGACCGTTGCTTACACTATGTACTGTACTGTACAGCACATCACGTTCTCTATGCGACCAAAAAATATCGATCTCGTTTGTTGATAATGTCACTGGCCAAATGTATAGTACAGTACTGTACATACACTACAGTATATATTGTTTGTTCGCTATGTCAGATGAGTCTCGGAAGGTATTTTTTCTATTTTTTTTTTTTTTTAGTTTGTAGCCGAGTACAGGCACGTGGTTTTCGAATAATTGAACCCACAGCAGATTCGTGAATTCAATTAATATGAACTACGAGTATATGCTATTTATATTTGCACAATGAATTTATTATTGCAAAGAATTTTTGTAATACAAAATATTCCGCCAGCAATATACATCATTTCTTTCAACATTTTTTCTCGTTCTTCGTCTTCACAAGGTAATTTATGTATGATTTCTTTCTAATGTTCGTTAAGAACTACAAGAACAGTTGAAATTTTTAAAAAAGTTATAAATATACATTAATTTATATTAAGTTTATGTATAGAATACTATATCATATAAAACGTATTTATTGTTTTAATAAAAATAAACTGTTCTTACCAGTTGTTGTCACAGAAGTTATTTCTATTTTCCCAGTTTTATGTTTCCTCCTCCTCTTGGTAAATAGGATTGGTCTCTTGGAGAATATGATTGGTCTCTTGGCGGATATGATTCGTCTCTTGGCGAATATGATTGGTCTCTTGGCGAATATGCTTGGTCTCTTGGCGAATATGCTTGGTCTCTTGGTAAATTTGCTTGGTTTCTTAACACGGACATTCTATTTACGAACGGATCATAACGGACAGGACCAGGATAAGCATACATCCTTCTGTTCCAATCTGCATTAGAAGTGTGGTCAAATGTTTTTTTTCTTCCACAACGTTGGGCTTGACTTATACTTAATGCTGCAAGGAAAAGTAAAATTATGAATTTCTCCATTATTTCTCTCGCTGTGTGACTAAATCGGATGATCGCTGACCATTTTTATACGTTCAGTTATCGTAATCAAGAATGCTTACCAGTAATTGAATACAGTGTTGTTACGTATAAAAATATTTTTCTCGGAAACAATCTAAAATTTTAAGAAAGCAGAAAAATAATACATTCATATTAATTTTAGACAAAAGTATTTAATTAAATCTGATAGTATTATGAATATAATCATTGTATTTTAAATAAAATTAAACAAAATAAATTATTTTATCTTTTAATCGAAATGAAGTTTTATATATAAATTCAATCGTGACAGATTGTGGATTTTTAGAAATTGTTTTCCTTTATTATAATTTTTACTTAAAATAATAAATTTATTAACGGGAGGATCACGTTACAACAATTTTTTTTTGAATTCGCATGTCATATATCAAGCATAATTATCTCCAAATTATTCGTGCCAACGTTCTAAACTTAATTGGTTTTTAATTTGAAAAAATTGTACACCTACAAATTCTCACTGTCATTTGTTTGTATGTCAGTCTGATTGTCCTTTCTTATTTCAAAATCGGAGTTACAAAGATAAAAGTGAAGACCAGATATGGAAAGCATTTATACCTGGAGACAGGTGGCTGGAGACAAGTGTGAGACTAATTAGAAAGCGCGGAAGACAAATCTGTCCAATTAGCGACAATTCGGTCACGAAAAACTTATAAAAACTCCGACGTCAAGGACAGAAAGTGGCCTCCTCTAGTCTACCTGTAGTGTTTGTTCACTCTCAGCTCGTCGTACGTCCGTTCATTTTTTTTCTTTTTTTTTAGTGCTGTTTCTCCTGACTAAGAACATTAAAGTGTCGCCGTTCCGGGGCCCTGTCAGCGTTGGACCGAAACGAAAAGAAAGAAACTCCTGAAGACAATTCACAGAACTCTGAACCACGGGATCTTGATAATTTTATGTAAGCATATTTGTCAAGAATAAACGGTTTGTTTGTCAAAAACTTGTCTTTCCTGCCTCCTCAAAACAGCCACCCACATACGAATAGACCTTAATCCATCCCGACGGTAGGGAATAAAAACTCCACCCCCCAATCGACGAGCTTACAGTGGTGTCCGAAAAGTGGGATTTTAAGTGCACAATGTCCACCAGGTCGGCGAGCATACACTAACAGGAATACTGTAGTATGATGTACAGGGCAAGACACTATTAATATGAGGTGGAGAGCATAAATTTTAAATTGAATAAATTGAAAATTTCATATTTTGACGCGTAAATTAATTTATTATAACATCAACGTTAAACAATGTATTTTCGTGTATATTAACGATATTAGCGTGTAAATGTGCAAATGAACTGCTGCTTAATATGTGTCGTCACAAAAAAAATTTCAATGAGAAGAAACTCCGTATTGTGGACCTGCTGAAGAAAACTTTTTCTGTTGAGAAAATAGCATTAGAAGTTGGTGTTGGGCGATCAAGTGTATTCAGGAAAAAAAAAACAGTGAGCTATGATATCACGAAAATTTAAGAGCGAGCAGGAAGAAAACAAGTGAAATTGAATTGAAAAGGAATTGTAACAGGAATAGAAGTGTGTACTTCAAGTATTTGCAAATGCCTAAAACATAACAATTTGAAAACCCAAGAAGCCTATAAACTTACCAAATTAAAATTATATAAACTTATATATAAAATTATATAAACTTACTAAATTACATTATCAGAAACGTCTTAATTTTGCTAAACGCTATAAAAACTGGACCTTAGAAGATTGGAAAAAGGTTGTATGGTTAGATGAGTCCAAAATTAATAGAGTTGGTTCAGATGGGAGAAAATGGATAACATTGATGAAGTGTATAACTGAGAGAGAAGTATAAACAATATTGAAATTTTGTGGTGGTAGCCTTATGGTCTGAGACTTTATTACCTATTTTGGGCCTGGAATGCTATGTTTTATACTTAGTAGAATGGATAGCGTTATTTACACTGACTTGTGAGATATTTGACAATTATTTGTTACAATTTGTTGATTATTACCACATCGATAAGAGCTCTTTCATTTATCAGCAAGATAAAATGATTCAAATATACAACCAGGAGGGAATGTGATGGCTTCGGGTTCAAAATATTAGTCCGCTCGAGTGTCCGCTTCAACGCGATTGAACACATCTGGTCCCTTCATAAACTTTGCTTGTCTGACTATGCAGCTCAGCCTGAAAGATCCACCAATTATGGTGGATCTTTCAGGATGAATGGAACAAAATAACATTGCGTGATTGAAGTAATATTATTAAATTGATGCCTGATTGCATTAGGAAGGTTTTAAAGGCCAAAGGAAGCTATGCTGATTATTGAAGTGTACATTTTCCACAAATATGATAGACATTTTTCTGCATCAAAATCTTCCCAATGCATATGTTATTTGTCTGTTAACATTATTAATAAAATAATTATTCGGATACTTATATTATAATTATATACATAAACATGTATGCAAATAAATATAAAGTGGATGACAATGACAAATGTTGAAACCCTGCAGATATCAACGAATTTAAGCATACGAGATACTGTACTTTACATCAAAACCGAAAATAAAACTACAATTAAAAGTAAAATCAAAATTAATTAATTAAAATTGAAATCAAATCAATTGAAAATTAAAACAATGTTTTTATAAACTGTTTAAAAATTGTTTTGAAATTTTCAAATTATAAATCAAACTTATATTTAAATTTACGTTATTTGTGTGCTGTGGTGACAGAACATTTGCTTATAATATATATACAGATTTAACAATTGTATTTTTTTTTAATCTAACCACCTAAAAAGGGTTCGTGGACTAATAAACAAAACTTGTTATGTCCTTCTAATCTCACTGGTGAACAGTCCTATTAGAAGGACATAATCGATTAAGCCGACTAATATTGCTGAGTTTAATTGTATTTTTATTTATGTATTGAATCATTTTTAAGCTTATAGTTATTTTGAATGATTTTCTAGTTTTAGTTTAAGTTTTATTGATTTTATAATTTTCATTACCTTGCCAAAAATTATATCATGATTTCGGTTCGTTCCGTTACCAGTAAATCGATCCCCATTATTTATACAGCTATACATAACTTTAATACGTATAATCTGGGATCATGTCCTTCTATCCTCATATAAAGACGCCATCAGTGACTAGAAAAATTACACCTCACATCACAAATCTGCATTGGCACGTTTATACATCATTAGACTGAACGGATTTTATTGGGCAACCCCAAATTTTTATTGGCGGAACCCTAGTGTTCCGCGGAACACAAGTCGGAAACCACTGCTGAAATGTATTTGATAAAATGGCCAGGACAGTAAATGTAAGTTCACAAAAATAAAAGACTATACAATAAAACAGTCTTCCTTTGTCCTTTCTCACGTGAGAAACTCAGGAAGTAAGTGTTTGAGAACAGTCTTAAAGAATTACACTCGTGAGAAGTTTCTATGGCTTTGCTATTTAAGTATTAGACAGGTGAGGTGAAGAAAACCCAATAAACTCCACATGAGAGGTCCGTTTACTTTTTAAAAATTTGAATAGGTGTTATACATTTTTGTAGAACTTTTATAACTTCCATGATGAAGCCAGTTATAGGTGAATACGCTAGAAAGCAGCAGCATAAAACTTCACGAACCTACAGATTAAGTAAATTAAGGAATAAATAAATACAAATTTTCTGTCATGGAAAACTTGTATGAAATTAAAAGTTATAATATTCTATTGGATGAACTGTTGCTGAATTGTGTTCATGAAGGTGTAAGTTATAAAATACAAGATGTATGTTTTAATAACTGGTCGTACCGTATAAAATATATACATGCTATTAAAATTTTGTATTTAATGTTGGTGTTTTCTGCATTTTCTTTACGTGCTTAACACGTAAATGAAAGCAAGTTTTCCATCGAAGTCTTCCTGAGAGGCATCCTTCCTTGGTAGATCGTCCATGTGTAGTGTTGCTGTATACCATAAAACCAACCAAACATTGTTATCGACCGGAAGCTGGTGGTGAAAAATCTACTTATTGTCCACCCCATCTACATGAAGATTTATGGGAGTAGTCGTAGCATCTTTAATTGGAATTTAAATTTTTAAAGAATTTTCGTAGCCATTTCCTTCACATTAAGTAAAATACGTCAGTTTTTCAAACAATCTTTCCGTCGTTTAGTTCCTTCAAATATCTTATCTTTGTATCTAGCCTTCAACTTTGAAATTCTTCATCGCGTGGTAGCTTAATTTAAGATAACTTTAATCGTACCACCAAAGGGATTCACGGTTATATATGGTATTTTAGATGGAGGGCACCAAGGAAAAGAAGAGACTTGTATGCCCTTTACATTTATCTTGTTTTTAAGTAATAATTTAATTGAGGAACAGTATTTTTGACATGCTGTTTGTATTAGTGGACTTATAAACGAAAACCTCTTGATAAAATTTCTGTTCTCCGGGTAAATACTGGACTATCTTTCCCAATACCTTGCAGTTTTGGGTTCTGTAAGGAGAGCTGATCCATAAAAGCTTTTTATGTAGATAAATTCGAAACATCCCTTTGTTTGTGCAATCTATATCGAGCATTTATTACAACGTTAATTATCTGGTAAGCGCAGATAGATTCGGATTCAGCATTGTCGTAGTGTATACTTTGTTTTCTGTAACAGAGAATTGGTGTTTCAGATGAGGCTTTTGCTATGGATAAATTTTTTTACAAGGGGACACATATTTTTTCGAAATGCTCATCTATCCACTCTGAAAAATTCAGCACTATTCCGGTTTCAGAATTTCGATATTGAATGTCTCTGTCCTAGCTGCAGAAATCATTGCAACACATACTCGTAAGGCATTTACGCTGTCAGTGCGTTTAATCCTCTTTATAAGCGCAAAATCTATATCATATGGGAAAAGACTGGTTTCTTCGTTTTGTTTAATGTTGATAAACTGACCACGTTTTTCACTGAAGTACTTTGATTCCGTTTCACCTATTCGTTTGCAGTATCATAATGACGTGCCA